GCTGACCTTTCAGTTAGCAGCCAAGTGCTTAACCACTGCACCACCAGGACTCGGAGAATAGATGTTGTTGTTGTTAGGTGCCATCTAGTCGGTTCCAACTCATAGCAACCGTATGTACAACAGAACAAAACATTAATCACACACAAGTAAAATTTTGCTGTAGATAAGTCAGAAGCAGTTGGAGCAGTACATCAACAAGGAACTGCCAGAAATTCAAGCCAGATTCAGAAGAGGCCATGGAACGAGGGATATTATTGCTGATGTCAGATGGATTCTGGCTGAAAGCAGAGAATTCCAGAAGGATGTTTACCTGTGTTTTATTGACTATGCAAAGACATTCGACTGTGTGGATCATAACAAATTATGGATAACATTGCAAAGAATGGGAATTCCAGAACACTTAATTGTGTTCATGTGGAACCTGTACATAGACCAAGAGGCAGTCATTCAGACAGAACAAGGGGACACTGTATGGCTTAAAAGCAGGAAAGGTGTGCATCAGGGTTGTATCCTTTCACTATACTTATTCAATCTGTATGCTGAGCAGATAATCAGAGAAGCTTGACTGTATGAAGAAAAACAGCATCGGGATTGGAGGAGGACTCATTAACAACCTGCGATACGCAGGTGACACAATAATAGATTTAAAAAAAAAAGTAAACCTGTTGCCATCGAGCCAATTCTGACTCATAGCGACCCTATAGGACAGAGTAGAACTGTCGCATAGATAGTGGGGGACAATTAAGATACCTCTGATACTGACTCACTGAATCTTGTAACCAGTTGTTGTTTTCTTCAAGTTAGATCCTGGAAAGCTTGGAGCTAAATATGGGGCTCATCTCTAGAATGTAGGTAGGACATCATAGGATGCATTTATATACCATGTCACTATTTACTTTCCTACCCTAATTTTTCCTTTGTCTCATTTATCTTGCTGTATATTGTATGGATTTTTGTAATAAACCTTTAATTTGTAAACAAATTTAAACAATTTAATAATGACATACTATAATTGTGTGTAGAGTGCTCAAAATGTTCTGAATAGGCCTAAACAACTTTACCACAGCATCTCTGCTCACAATTGCGTGTTTGTGGTACTTAAACCAGTAACTCTACAGAGTTGTAAATAATGTTACCTTGATCTTCATTTTGTCCAAGTGATTTTCCAGCCTTTAAAAAAAAAATAAGAATTTACAGAAACTCACAAAAAGGAAATATAAATACAGGTTGCTTTGCATAAATTAAGAGTCCACCTGCCACGATACCTCATATTCTGTAGACAACAATAGAATATCTATTCCTTGTTATTTTATATCACCTTATTATACTGTTGTTAGGTGCCATTGAGTCAGTTCCGACTCATAGCTACCCTGTGAACAACAGAACGAAACACTGCCTGGTCCTGAGCCATCCTCACAATCGTTGTTATGCTTGAGCCCATTGTTGCAGCCACTGTGTCAATCCATCTCATTGACGGTCTTTCTCCTACTTTACCAAGCATGAAGTCCTTCTCCAGGGACTGGTCCCTCCTGTTAACATGTCCAAAGTACGTGAGACAAAGCCTTGCCATCCTCACTTCTAAGGAGCATTTTGGCTGTACTTCTTCTAAGACAGATTTGTTCATTCTTCTGGCAGTCCATGGTGTATTCAATATTCTTTGCCAACCCCATAATTCAAAGGCATGAATTCTTCAGTCTTCCTTATTCACTGTCCAGCTTTCTCATGCATGTAAGGTCACTGAAAATACCATGGCTTGGGACAGGGGCACCTTAGTGCTGAAAGTAACAACTTTGCTTTTTGACAGTTTAAAGAGGTCTTTTGCAGCAGGTTTGGCCAATGCAATATGTTGTTTGATTTCTTGACTGCTGCTTGCATGGGCATTGATTGTGGATCCAAGGAAAATGAAACCCTTGACAATTTTAATATTTTCTCAGTTTACCATGATGTTGCTTATTGGTCCAGTTGTGAGGATTTTTGTTTTATGTTGAGGTGTAATCCATACTGAAGTCTTTGATCTTCATCAGTAAGTGCTTCAAGTCTCTTCGCTTTCAGCAAGCAAGGCTGTGTCATCTGCATATCACAGATTGTTAATGAGTCTTCCTCCAATCCTGATGCCACAGTCTTCTTCATATAGCCCAACTTCTTCGATTATTTGCTCAGCATACAGGTTGAATAAATTTGGTGAAAGAATACAACCCTGACACAGACTTTTCTTGATTTTAAGCCATACAGCATCCCCTTGTTCTGTCTGAACAACTGCCTCTTGGTCTATGTACAGGTTCCACATGAGCACAATTAAGTGTTCTGGAATTCCCATTCTTTGCAATGTTATGCATAATTTGTTATGATCCACACAGTTGAATGTCTTCGCATAGTCAATAAATCACAGGTAAACATCTTTCTGGTATTGTCTGCTTTCAGCCATGATCCATCTGACATCAGCCATGATATGCCTCCTTCCATGTCCTCTTCTGAATTCGGCCTGCAACGATTTTTGAATTATCTTCAGCAAAATTTTACTTGCGTGTGATATTAATGATATTGTTCAGAAATTTCCACATTCTGTTCAATAGCCTTTCTTTGGAATGGGCACAAACATGGATCTCTTCTAGTCAGTTGGTCAGTTAGCTGTCTTCCAAATTTCTTGGCATAAACGAGTGAGCGCTTCCAGCATTGCATCAGTGTGTTGAAACATCTCCACTGGTATTCCATCAATTCCTGGAGCCTTGTTTTTCACCAATGCCTTCAGTGCAACTTGGACTTCTTCCTTCAATTCCATCAGTTCTTGATTATATGTTACTTCTTGAAATGGCTGAATGTTGACCAACAGTTTTTGGTACAGTGACTGTGTGTATTCCTTCCATCTTCTTCTGATGCTTTCTGCGTTGTTTAATATTTTCCCCGGAGAATCCTTCAATATTGCAACTCGGGAGGCTTGAATTTTTTCTTCAGTTCTTTCAGCTTGAGAAATGCTGAGCATGTTCCTCCTTTTTAGTTTTCTAACTCCAGGTCTTTGCACATTTCATTATAATAGTTTACTCTGTCTTCTCCAGCCACCCTTTGAAATCTAATGTCCAGCTCTTTTACTTCATCATTTCTTCCATTTGATTTAGCTACTTAACGTTCAAGAGCAAGTTTCAGAGTCTCTTCTGACATCCATTTTGGTCTTTTTCTTTCTTTCCTGTCTTTTTAATGACCTTTTGCTGTCTTCGTGTATAATATTCTTGATGTCATCCCACAACCTGGTCTTTTGTCATTAGTGTTCAGTGCATCAAATCTGTTCTTGAGATAGTCTCTAAATTCAGGTGGGATATACTCAAGGTCGTATTTTGGCTCTAGTGGATTTGCTCTGATTTTCTTCAGCTCCAACTTGAAATTGCATATGAGCAATTGATGATCTGTTAGACAGTCGTCCCCTGGCCTTGTTCTGACTGATGATATTGAGCTTCTCCATCGTCTCTCCACTACTTTTGGTATGTCTGTGATACCAGTTACCTTTAAAACTTCTGATTTTTTAAGGCACCTACCTTTTCCTTATCAAAATGTTAAAAGGATATGCTTTTGATATTTCTAAGATAGTATTTTTTATTGTAGTGAAAAATAGATAACAAAACATTTGCCATTTCAACCATTTTTACACGTACACTTCAGTGACATGTTCACCATGTTGTGCAACCATCCCCATTATCTGTTTCCAAACTTTTCCATCACCCTTAACAGAAACTCAGTGCCCTTAAGCAGTGATTTCCCTTTCCTTTTCCCTTCTACCTCTGGTCACCGCTAATAAGCTCTGGTCTCTATACATTTGTCTATTCTCGATATTTCATGTAAGTGGAAACATACATTTGTCCTTTTGTGACTGACTTATTTCACTCAGCATAATGTTTTCAAGATTCATCCATGTCGTAGTGTGTATCAGAATTTAATTTCTCTTTATGGGTGATTACTATTCCGTTGTATCTATATACTGAATTTTGTGAGATAGTGCTGTTTTATCTGGGGTACACAAATGTCTTTAATCTGTGGTAAGGTTTATTACACTTGATATAAATGAAATCGTTTTGTTGTTAGGAGTGGTTGGGTCGACTTGATTCTGACTCATGGTGAGCCCGTGTGATGGAGTAGAACTGGGTTTTCTAGGCTGTAATCTTTACAGGAGCAGATCGCCAGGTCTTTCTCCCAGCGAGCGGCTGGGTGGGTTTGAACGCCAATCCTTTGGTTAGCAGCCCAGCGCTTAACCGTTTGCGCCAGCAGGGCTCCTTTTAGGGTTAATCAGTTTAGCCTTTGGCTGTAAGCAGATTCTTCTTATTCCATCTTTTGGTTTTGTGGACTATTGTGGTTATTTGAAAGCAAAGAATAAATTCCTGCTTTAAAGTTTAACATCGAATTTCGCTCAGCACAGGTTCGCTAGTAACATTTGGGTTCGCTCTTGCGATGTAGACCCTCCTCCTCCAACTTGAGGACAGCGCACACTTGCCTGTTTCACACAGTGACCGCCCTGAAGTGCCTTTTTGCCAGTTTGGGACTCTGTGGGCTGAGGACGCCTGGCGCTGTCACAGGGTGGTGCTGCCGGCCACCCTGAAATTGTTGAGCCGCAGAGCCAGCTCCGCACAGTTCCATTGAATTACGCTCACCGCGCGTCCATACCACGGGGATGTAAAAGTCCAAGTCCAAAATACAAACCTAGGAAATGTTTACCGATTACTGGATAACTATGAGTGATTCCCGTCTTTAAGAGCTTTAGAAGACCCAAAGAACGCCGACCCGGAGGGCCTCCCCGACCCCAGAGACAGCACCCCCAGGACCCGGGCTCCGCTGGCTCGGCCCACGCGCGCCAGCTCGGGACTGTAAGGGGTCTGGCCTGCCACATCTCAGCGCCTCCGCCGCCTCTCGGAGGCCCCACCTTCCCCCGGACCGGCTTCGCGGGAGGCTTGCCCGCTTCCAATATGGCGGTGGCGGCCTCAGGGCGGACGGCGCCTCACGTGTGGGCCTGTGGCCAATGGGCTTTCGGTCTGCGCCGGCCGGCCTGGCGCAGGAGGCGGAAGTGCCGCGGGTGGCCGTCTCCGTCCCGGTTGCGGCCCCTGCCGGTTACGTAACTCGTCGCCGGTTCCGCGCGGCCCCACTCGCCGGCTCCCTGCGACCCCAGGATGTGCTGAGCCTCACGACGCCCTCTGCTGCCGCCGGCTCCCGCCCAAGGTGAGGCGGCGGGGCTCTGGCCTGTGGTGGGGCGGGCGGGGAGGTGGCGGCTCCGTGCGGGCCGGCCGGGCTGCTGGGAGGCTGGGCTGGGCGGGCACCTCTCTCTGAGGGTGGGATTGGGGGCCCGGACGAGCAGGGTCAGGCGCGGGTGGGGGCCTGGGGACGAGCAGGGTCCGCGGAGGAAAGCCCGGGGTCCGGGTCGTGTAGTCTCTGCGCTGCCCCGCGCCCCTTGGGCGTCCAGTCGTCCCCAGAATCTAGTTTCCGTGACGGCCAGGAGGGGTGAGGAGGAGGCAGCGAGGACCCAGACGAAGGAGGGGTTTTGCCTGGGGGACGCTTCTTTGCCAGACCCCAACAGGAGTTGGAGAAATTTGGAACTAAAGGACGTTCTCATTGCTACTCGCTGGGGTCTCGCTCGACGTCAAGGACCCTGCGAGTCCTACCCCCTCACCTCTAAAAATTGACAGACTGACCGTGCAGGTCATACCCCAACTGGGACCTCTTCTCTCCTCTTTTGGGCCTTTTGCCCTTCTTCCCAACTGGCCACTCCCCAAAGAGTAGAGGAAACCTGTAGCTTCTGTGGTTTGACTGGAAGGAAGTTGGGGAGGCTGTGGGCCTTCTCTGGACCGGCCATAATGAACAGCCAATACTTCTGTTCCCCGCGGGTGATGGAACCCAGGCTTGGGAATCAGGCAAGGAGTTACCCTGCAGGAAAGGTGGACGTTGGCTGCTTCATTAATCTCTTTTCACTCTGCTAAGCCCCTGAGTTTGTGCTACGCGTTTGTCATGTAGGAAAAGGATGGACGATCCAACAGACCAGCTCGTCTAGGTGGCTGGAGTGGCCGTTAATCTGAGCATCAGAACTGGAGAGAAGATTGCCATTTACAAATGTTGTCCTTTCAACAGGGCACTGAAGGCATGAAACCTCTAGTTAATGCTCAACTGACCGAACAGGGAAACATATCACTTCTAAGGTCACCCATGGCAGACTGCGACGTTGCCTTTTTTTTTTTTTTTTTCTTTAACTGCGGTGAAAATATACATAACAAAACATAGGTTATCTTAGCAATTTTTTCAGATACAATTCGGTGGCATTGATGACATTTTTCAAGTTGTGTAGCTGTCTCCTTGTCCTTTTCCAAATCATTCCACCACCATCAACATAAACTCAATGTCCCCTAAGCAAACACTCCCCCTTCCCCTCTCCCTCCCACTCCTGGTAAACCCATTGCCTCAGTTGGGAGTTGATTCAGACATAGCCATACTATAGGACAGAGGCAAGTGGCCCCATAGGGTTTCCTAGGCTGCAGTCTTTACGGGAGCAGATTGCCAGGTCTTTTCACCCTCGTAGCTGCTCGTGGGTTCAAACCGATGGTGCTTAAACACTGCACCACCAGGACTCCTTCCCAGCCTTGGTAACCACTAATAATCTTTGGTTTTTATATATTTGCTTACCTCATAGATATGAGATCATACAATATTTGTCTTTTTGCGACTGACTTATTTCGCTCAGCGTTTCAGGGTTCATCCATATAATGGCATACATCAGGACCTGATTTCTCTTTCTGGCTGAGTGGTATTCCATTGTGTGTATGGATGTTTTGTTTATCCGTTCCTCTGTTGTTGGCCATTTTGCTTGTTTCCACCTTTTGTGACACCGTTTTTGATGGAGAGGTGTTAGAAGTTCTATGACTGTAGTGCTGGCCGGCCAGGGGAGTCTTGAACATCACTAAATTAAAAGGGGTTTGGTGTCTTTAATTAGTGAAGATGGGGTTAAAGACTAGAGGAAACTGGAATATAAATGCCAGTGGTCTTTCCAAATGGACACATGATCATGGCAGAACGTAGATCTTCCTGTCCCCTATTTCAGGATGTTGTACCCACCAGAATTAATGTGCAAATAGGCCCTCAGAGAATGGGACGTGTCTGAGCTCCTCCTCCATCAGGCTGTGGTTTGCTGAGCTGCATCTCCCTGAGTGTCCAAATACGCCAGGTTTCCGTGAAGATAGTTAAAACCTGTTAAGCCACAAAGTCAAGGCATGGTTTGCTGTCAGTATAACCCGTTGCCATCCAATCGATTCTAACTCAGTGACCTTATAGGACAGAGTAGAACTGCCCCGTAGGGCTTCCAAGGCTGTAAATCTTTATGGAAGCAGGCCACCACATCTTTCTCCTGTGGAGCTGCTGGTGGTTTCAAACCACTGACCTTTCAGTTAGCAGCTGGGTGCTTAACCATTGGGCCACCAGGGCTGCTTGGCTGTCAGTATGCCAGAATGAAAAATACAATTTTAGGAAAAGGTCCGTGTGTATGTCCTACCTTGAGCCGCGCCCAGTTGTAACTTGAAGTGGCTTTGTCACCCTGTTTATTCTAACCACCCCCACTCACAGCCAGTGTGAAGAGTATCTTTAGCTGTGACTTACATATGTTGCTTAGCAATCGCACACAGTGGCTTCTGACCAGAATGGACAAAAATTCCTGGATGTCAGGAGAGTTGTGGGATAAAAGGTACACCTGAGACAAGATTTAGGCCGACCCAGAAGGGTGGTGCTGGCATTGCTGACTGGGCGCTCATGATCCAGATACTATCCCTGCTTCAGGGGCCTGTTAGCAGCAGTTTGGCCTCCGATGGCTTGAGGTGTGTTTAGGTGGATGCAGTATCATTACAGGAAATGGAAACCATGTGGAAAAGAGTTAGAACTCTGGAGTTCAGGGCATTGAAAGCTGGCTGCTTATCAGGCAACATCTATTCTTAAATGGTGACTCCTCCTGTCTGCAGCTCACCTCTGGCATCTCCCGTCCACACCCCTTTGGAAGGAACCCACAAATTCCTTGTGGTTTTTACATCTCAGTTCCTCATTGGCAGAAAGCAAGGCTGAGTGTGGAACCCTGAACGGAAGCTAGCTCTGCTTCCATCCATGTGAAGGAAGTGCCCCCAAGTGACATGCTGATTTGCAAAATGATGCTGGAAGTTTGGGGTCTCCTTCCGGCTGACTCCAAATGCTGGCGTTGATCCAGCAAATTTTTTTTTTCCTTCTTTCCCTCCCTCCCTCCCTCCATCTTTTGTTCCTCTCCCTCCC